TTCCTTACCTATAATTTTTATATAATTTTTTTATAAAATTGTTTGTAATTTGGATTGTTTTACTACTTTTTTCATAATCACCTATTTTTAAAATTACATGGGTATAGTGATGTAAAATCACTACATGCATTGAACAGACAACTTATGAATATATTCAGTTTTGAATCCCAATGCTTACCAGTTCTGAATCACCTCACTCATTTTTCTTTCCTTTTTTTATTTTCTTCCTTGTTCCTTTCTCTTTCCTTTCTTTCTCTCAGACCTAGTTTGAAAAATGCTACGTAAAGCAACTGATGGGAAACAACCGGAAACCGACTTGCTAACCTGCTTAATTAAGCCCTGACCCCTATCCCCAATCCAGGGAATCTTCAAATACACCGGACATTTAGAAGGCCCCTGGATTTTAGGGGAATGAAATTCCTTAATCTTCTTACTAATAATATAGTCAATAAGGGCCTCTGGATAGCTGTTACTAAGGAAAATCTCCCTAATGTTTTCAAATTCACGGTCCAATCTAATAGGAGAACAAATTTTAAGCGCTCTATACACCAAAGTTTTAACAAGATTGATTTTCCTTGATGCAGGAGCAAATGAATGCCAATTCAAATAAAGACCCGTAAAGGTGGGTTTACGATAGATGCTAGTAATAAAACCACCTCTACTGCATTCAACAAAAATGTCCTAAAAAGGCAGACAGTTGTCCTTCTCCCCTTCCATAGTGAAAGACAAACTATTGTGTAAGGAGTTGAGTTCATTAAAGAACCCAACAGCCTCACTTTCGTTAGAAAAAGTTGCAAAAGTGTCATTGACATATCTAACGTAAACAAACGGTTTAGACACTTTGCTGAAAAGTAACATCTCATGGTAGCCCACAAAAATATCAGCCAATGCAGGACCAAGGGGACTGCCCATCTGGACCCCATCCACTTGACTATACATAATATTATCAAAACTGAACTCCACCGAACTGGTACATAGTATCATAAGTTCTATAAATATATCCTTATGAAAAGGAGGTGGAGCAATGTTACCTTCGTATAAAAAGTCTGCACAGATATCAATAGTTTCCCTCAATGGTATGTTGGTAAACAGACTGGACACATCAAAAGAACACTTAAAATCAGTATCAGGGCAAAAAATGTTTGGACCGGCTGTATGACCTGCAGAAGCCATTGAGCCAAAGAATGTTGGGATGAACCAATCATTGAAAGTATTGGTCTCAATGGAACGTCCTTCTTATGAACTTTAGGAAGACCATAAAGCCTTGGTCTAAGGGAACCAGAAGGTCTAATCCTATCATAAGTCTCCTTAGAAAAGTAACCTTTTCTAAACAAGTATAATAGACGTTTCTGAATTTTAATTTCATTTCTGTACATGTTGTCACAAGTTTCAACTGGACCAATTTTTTTTTTTGAACTTTTCTGAATCATTCAAAATAATCAACATCTTTTGGATGTAATCTACCCGGTCCAGTAGAACAACACCAGCACCCTTGTCCGGTTTACAAATATAAATATCATTATTAGATTTCAATGATTTAACAACCTTGGATTGAGTTTTTTGACCAAACAAAATCAAAAGAGTCAATAGAAGAATTACAATAACGATAAGCCAAGTCTTTCAACCTTGACTTCAATGTAATAACGTGATCCGATGAACAAGGAACATGGTGTTTAAGTTGGGAGAACAACACCTCAAATGCTGCCAGTGTCTTCTCTTTATCAATCTTAATCGGAGGAATACAAAATTGCAAGCCCCTCGACAAGACCGCACCTTTCATTCTTTGAAAGGTGAAAACTTGAGTAATTGAAAATATGCTTACCTTCAGTACCAGAGTCACAACCATATCTAGAGCAAATAAGCAATGTAAGCTGTTTTTCAAATTTAGTGTTAACACGTTGTTTGGCAAATGCATCGCCATTAGCCAAATATTTACAGAAACGAAAAAAGTCAAAGGACAAAAAACTTTTAACTTTAAATAGGCAACCATGTCTAAAGTTAATATAAAATTCAAGTTGCTTCAGTGACTTATTAATCTCATCTTGAATAAATGCCGGCTCAATTGTCAAACTAGGTCTAACCTTCGAATGAAAAATTCTTTTGGAAATGAAGAGTGGTGCTACGTCTTGCTCTAAGCAGGAACGTAGGAAAGAGATAGATAGTCTTAATTACCTAATTTTACTCTTTAATCGTAATAGATTATTCAATTCTTTAATTTGTTGATGGGAGTACCTCTTCCTAAAATAAATAAACAAATGTTTGGAGGTACAAAATTTATATATAGTTTTAAAAACAAGGAATGTATTGATTTTAATTTTAAAAGTCTCTGGGGCCCTTTCAGCCAACATCTCATCAGGAGACAATCGTTGGATCCCATCTAAATCATCTTAAAATAGTCACAAACACTTCCAAAACCATTATGGATATACTCAGATCCTCAAACACTAATAGCAATAATATTTCTGAAGCAGGTATTTATAAAATAAGTTGCCAAAACTGTTCCTCACAGTATATTGGAGAAACAAGCAGAAATTAAAAAAAAACACATTTATGAGCACAAAAGAGACCTCACAAAACCATCTAATGCAATAGTCATACATAGAAAAAATTCAACCACAAATTTGATTTTAAACATGCTACATTCATAAAAAAGGAAATAACTCACTCAGACGAAATTTCTTGAGAGTGTCGCCATTGAATATTATCCAAATATTAATCTATGACCAGGCTTTTTCCCAATATCATGTTTCCTAACAGAATTACTACTCTTTCAGGCAAACATACACAAATGAATCAAGAAATCAAAAGAAAATGGTTGAATCCATCAACACAACAAAATATCCATACATGATAGTATTTGACGTAATTTTCAATTGGCAGTATGAATACAAGAGTTTTCTAAATTGTTGTAGTTACTAAGGACATTTTGTTTTGTTGCTAATAATTATTTTGTTTTTTAATAAATTCATTTCGTTTTTGCTTTGAAAGTCCACATTGGATGAAACACGCGGCTAATAATAGTTTGCTTATTGTCTTTTATCTTGAACATATATTTGTATATCATATATACATATTATATATATGTTTATCATATATATATATATATATATATATATATGCGTGTGTATATATATATATATATCTATTTGTATATATATATATTTATAATATATATATATATATATATATATATATATATATATATATATATGCATATATATATATATATATGCATATATATATATATATATATATATATATATATATATATATATATATATATATATATATATATATATATATATATATATATATATATATATATATATATATAATATATATATATATATATATATATATATATATATATATATATATATATATATATATATATATATATATATATATATATATATATATATATATATATATATATATATATATATATATATATATATATATATATATATATATATATATATATATATATATATATATATATATATATATATATATATATATGCATATATATATAGCATATATATATATATATATATATATATATATATATATATATATATATATATATATATATATATATATATATATATATATATATATATATATATATATATATATATATATATATATATATATATATATATATATATATATATATATATATATATATATATATATATATATATATATATATATATATATATATCCATATTGTACAATATATTATTGAAGTCACTGACAGGCCAGTAATCTCACTGGTAGCAAAATCTAAGCGATCAATGGCAACCCGTGGCAATAGGTTGCTGCTCCAAGCTTACCTGAAGACTGCTACCCATTCATAATCGGTGAAGATTTTTAATTATGTAAAATAGTGATTGTGTTTTCACTATAGGTCTCTCCCCTTCACTATTAAGTCCATGAGTTTTCCCAGTTTTAAGCAGAATATGCAGCTGATAATGTCATGTCTATGAGTGCAATCCTGTCCTGGTAGGAGTTCACGTGTTATCTCAACCCATTTGGTGTTGCAGAGAAACGTTATAAATGAGACTGGTCACTCATATTGCCTAATGTATGTCATAGCATCCTGCGTGCATTCATGCATGTAACGGGCCCCCCCCTATTCCAGTGTAGGTAGAGGGCAGAATGCACAGCTTCCCTAGGCTGTGGGGATTGACTTCATTTTGAAGGCTGTTGCTTAAGTGTACACTGGAGTCTGTTTCCGATGATTCCATATAAAACAAAGCTTCTCTGATTCCATCTTAGCAGCCATGTCAACCACAAACTGGTGGAAAAGCTCCCTGCATCTATGAAGCAGATTGAAGTCTCCATCCCTAACCCTGAAACGGTATGAGTAGAAGGCCTTGCATGATAAGGCTTTGAAGACGACGTAGGTTGGCCACCTGGAGTATGAATTGGTAGTTATCGTCACCATAAGGGAAAAGTAAGGGGTACTGCAATGTGTCATATGATCGATGGGTCAATGAAATCCTGCGAAGAGCGCTGCCTCTTGATTTGCGGACAATATCGCAAGTGCAGGCTTACTCCCCATGTATAATAGCAGCCATCTCGTTGCACACAGGATCATTGTAGCACCGTTCATGTTCATTCTAAAGCATATTTGAAACTGAGAATGTAGCTGTTAACCTCGTGAAGCATGGCCTGTAGTACTAGTATGATGTCCCTGTGAGGAACTCTTCCCGATGGCGGTAAAATACCAATCTGTGTTTCGGCTTGTAGGTTGTAGTCTGAAATAAAGTACAGTGGGAGGAATTTAGGGGTAGAGGTCTCCTCGGGCAGCAGAGACCCAATGTGGTGGTATACCTGCCTCTGTACTTTGAAAGTGGGCATCCAACCTTCTTCTCGAACCACCTGAGACCCAAATGAGGTCATTTGAAAGGAGTTGTTGTATTGCCTAATTGTTTTAAGGAAGTGGTTGGAATTGGGATGGGAGTGGGATATTAGTCCCCTCAATGGGGTAGATGGTTCATGCAGAGGTTTGCTGGAGTTTGCAGCAGAGACTGGCAGGCTACCCAGCTCATTTGCGGGTGTTGCAGAATTGGCAAATGCCGGTCATTGACCCTACATTGATGTTGTCACGCGTAGTTAAGTTAATGCCGGGGGTCGTAACTGAAAGCCAAGGAAAGACCAAAAAGAGATATTTGGACAGCAAGGCACTGAATGTCGCTGTAGAGGTGTATGTAGCGAGCTTGGAGAGTTTGAGATAATCGCACAGCGGCCATGTTTGTAGCAGCCCTTGAAAGTCTGTTTGCCCTTGTCTGTTGGCCCTTGGAATTTCTGGCAGCAGAAGTCACTGCAGCATTGCGGGCATTGCGGGTTGCCTGCTGCAGCTCTTGACCTCGCTGTAGCAGCAGCGTCTCAGGATTGACGTGCGTGCGTGCGGTCGAATGTTTCAGCTGCCCTCAACCTGGCAGTGGTGGCAGCATTCCTAGCCTTTTGAACAGACCTATGGAGCAATATCTCAGCAGCCCTAGCAGTTGCTGTTGCAGCAGCATCCCGGGATTGATGGGCATGTCTGCGCTCAAATGTTTCAGCTGCCCTCGACTTGGCAGTGGTGGCAGCATTTGTAGCATTTCAAACAGACCTGGATTGACGGGCGCGCCTGCAGTCCTTACATTACGACTGTGAGGCCCGCATTAGGGTGCTGCATTGAGCGATCCATGATAGTCGCATTGTAGTCTGCTCCTGGGACTCGCGGCTAAGACGTACCCTTCTTTTTGGCAGCATGGGGAAAAGTGATGCTAGTAGTGGTTGATTAGGGTTGCTCAATTGCAGGAGTACAAAATCTAACTTAGTATCACAAAGCATGAGAAAGAATCGAGAAGGCAGGTATTTAAGTAAAACAACTGAATAAATTGTTTATGGTAGTTGGAAAAATGTAGTTAAACAGACAAACGGAAAACAAAAGTGTAAGAAACAACTTGCGGTAGGAGAAATGGTCAGTTGAAGGAGCCTATTGTATCAACTGGATGGCGGCGTAACAGGAGCAGAAGTGAGACCTTCATCCCACAGATGTGCACAGCTGGTTCAAATGTGAAGTATTACTGGCCAATCGGTTGTGCCAATCAGCGAGCGTCCTAGGGTCTTAAACACCAATTAGCGATCACGTACTGCACTCAGCCAATGAGATACCGCTATGTGAAGCATGGTCACGCGTGTGTGAATAACAATCAGTTGTAGAGTCTGTAGTGTAGACGTCTCAGTTGAACATATGTTTGATTGGTGTATTTGCAAATTCCGATGAAGACCTGATTGTATCGACTTCCCTCAGATATTAGTTGGTCACAAAGGGGCTCACAGGGAAAAGTGTTTAATTGTAATGACTAAAACCGATAAAGTTAATCAAAATCCCAAGCAAGTTGCGAAAAACATTGCCAAATTCAGGTAAACTTGATTTGAATGGGAAGTCAAAAGGGGTATGATTTCATCGATTTTTATCCGATAATTGAAACCAATATTGAAATGAAAGTCAGCACCTCAATACTGTCGGTAAATACTAAACTCAATGGGAATTTTGCTGAAAATTCTTCGCCATTTGTGAAAAATATAGCCAATCAGCTGGACTGGACTTGAATCGGATGTCCCAAAGTGATCGATTGTATCGATTTTTTTCCGATAACTGATATCAATTTTTAAAAACAAAGAACAGCACCTCAAAACTATAAGTAAGGACATTGCTCAACGTGAGTTTGGTGGATATCACTTGTAATTTGTGAAAACTATCATTGAAAAACTGATGAATTTTTTTTTTAATCAATATTCGACTCCCTATCAGTTTTATCGATTTTTTTTTTTCAAAAATCAGAGAAACAATTGAAAAATCCGAAGATGTCAAGTACGAATGCCGTAAATTTCCGATTTGTGTGTGAATTTTCATGCCAATTGGATGAACAGTTTGCTCAGGATGAGGTAACAAGGTGACAAACACACAGACACACTAACAGAATGCCATTTATATATATATATATATATTTGAATAACCAAGTAACTACTTGCCCCAGTTAAGCAAAATTAAATAGGCTTCATGTTGAATAAGAAAAGATTTATTTGTCAAAATTCAAACAAAATATTCAAACAATGTAGATTTTATAAGCAATTTCTCAAAGCTTAAATATTCAATATTTGTACCACCTGTGACGCGACACATGTCAAGTCTGTCATCCAGCTCTTGCAAAACACTCTGTAGCATGTCTTGCATAACATTCTCCAGTACCTTTTAATTTTTTTACCATGTCCAAATCTGCTTTCCAGTTGTTGCATTTTTCTTGAATTTGTTTCAAAATACATATTGCACACTCTTGTTTGACTATGTTTGTGTCTATTCTGACATACAAAATGCTTTTTAATTTCCAGTGATTGTCATTCATCATCCTGAAAAAAAATTAAACATTCAACTTCGGTACTTTTTATGCATGTTGTTCAGATTGTGTATGCTATTAGACTAGAAAATTATGTCATATTTTTGGAGAACCTGTATATAGATGTTAGGTTTCAGTTCAATTTGCTTAGTATTTTTTAACTGTAGCAAATTTACATAATAAAAAATAAAAATCCAGTATTTACTGAATAACTCTGGAAATCATGAGTAGAAACCAATGTTTATATAAATTTATTTTTCTTATCAATAGCAAATATAACCAGAACCAGTGAATTGATTTCTTGTTAATTGATATTTGTTTCATGGTAATTTTCTTTCTGTTAACTGCCACACTGACTGCCATTATACAGTTGTTAACAAGCATTACATTTAAAAAAAAAAAAACACTCTAGTGAGAGTTTAATTTATATTCTTTTTCTTTAGAAGGCTGTCTTTATGTGACAGCTGCCTTGCTGATTAGGCCACAGAACATGGATGTAGTTATTCAAATTTAAGCTGTATCTATTACTTTTTCCTCCATTTATCTCTTATGTCACTCTGTTTTTCATTCACATGTATTAGTAGTACTAGTTGTAATATAATTTTTTTTTCAAGCATTGTCAAATTACAATTATTTTTTTAAAACTCATATTTCATTATAATTTCAATTGTTTTTTTATGGAAATTCTCAGACTGTTATTTTATAGTAAGCAACATGAATTGGAAAGTAACAATGGTCTGTGAATTGTAATAAAAAGCAAGTAAATGAAGAAGATGAAAAAACACTACTCAAAAATTGATCATTGATAATATAACAAATTCAGACAACTATAAAGTAGCAGAAATAAGATGAAAGGAAAATAAGTAAAAAAAAAAAAAATTAATTTTTTTTCTGTTCTTTTGTTAATATTTGATTTTTTTAAATTCTTTATCTAGCAGTTCCATAAAAACAATTCCTTGCATACAGATGTTTGATTACCATATATACTCATGTATCATGCGACTTTTGAAGACCTAATTTTGAATCTAATTTTAAGTGTTTTGCAATATAAACAAGATATAAAATTAGCATATGTACTGCTGGCTCTAGCTATGCTGTTGACCATCCATATACTAAACTCAAAAAGTACAGAAGTATTTAAAGTAAACAATAATAATGCATGTAATATTCCTATATTAGTATCATATTATAAAATACAGACATAGCGAATATGCATCTTTTCCACTGTTTACGTTTATAAGATGTTTATCTGATTGAGACTATCATCTATGCTTTCCAAATTGGCTGATTAAGGCAAACTACCAAATGTTTTTTTACTTGCTAAAAGAAACAGTTATTACTTGAAACTAATATTTTTAATTTTAGTATACAAAGGTAAATAATATGCATAAAATTATGAATAATCTAAAATCCTTCAAAGTCACTTTCTTTATCATTAAATAAGGCTTTGAATTCTTCTTTTATCATTCCCATTTACTTTTTTACCTTATTTAACTGGAAGATGGGATAAAGAGATAAAGGAAAGGGGGTTAGTCTATTATAATTTGCTCTCTCAAAAAGCAACTCACATAATACATGACACATGATAAAATCATTTTTTATACATAAAAATTTGGGGGTTGTACAATATGTAAGTATATACAGTGTATATTATTTTTGTCAATGTCATTTTTGGTCTTATATTTGTTTTATCATAGAAAGTACCAAATAAAATTCAATGGCAGCAGGAAAATTGAGTAATGTAAAGAGTGACATTCTGTGATAAAATAAGGATACGAGTCTAAGTAATTTATGGAATAATTTTCATGCTTGTTGGTTCATGTGTTCAAAGATTATTGTGAAAAATATTACTGAAAATTTTATCTTAATTATTTAAGATTAATTTACTTATTTTAAAATTTTTTTCTGAAAACTTTCGTTATGATCATTGTCATATAAAACTTGGGAATAATAATCCAGAAAAACAAGTCTTTTACTTACTCAAAAGAAAAAATTATTTTTTTCTTTCTTTATAGTTATTTTTTTTCCTAACTATTTCTTTGCTTGTTCTCAGTATTCTTTTGTTTTTCTATTTGCTTAAAAGCCATCAAAGCAGTCATAAAACTTAATGTCAAGTCACTCACTCCTGGCTTGTAGAATCTATAATGAAATCCTTTGCAAATAAATAAAGGGAGACTATTCTATAATTAGCCAAATTCCAACTACATTGAAAATTTGGTTTCACTTGTACTTCCTTTTCTTTTTATGTGCCGTGTCTTTTCAGGATGTAAGTGATCATGGTTCTCCATTTCCCACATCCTTTGTAGCGCTCAATGTTTCGTTCTTCTGCCACCTCCCCCAGACCACGTTGGTCATTATGCCATGTCAGAATCCCTTCACCCTAAACTAACCAGCCATAGCACAGTGGTCTTTGAAATGGAAACTTATTCTGTTAAAGTCAGCCACAACATTTCAATAAATGACCATTGATTCGAGTTTAGCAAGATTTAACACAAGGTTCCAATTGTAAGTAGTAAGAATCGTTTTTGCCATGACGTTATCTTATTGCATATTGTTTTAATAGGGTACAATGGAACTTATACTAGGTTAAAACTTATTTAAAAAAAAAAAAATCTTTTTTCTATTCCCCCACCTTAATGGTAAGTATTCCAGTCAAAATGCCAGTGACTAAACCGACTACCTGACTCCAAGTTCTGAGTGAGGCGGCTCATTATCAAGCCAGTAGAATGAAAAACAAGACCTAACAAAGGGCGGAGGAACTCTCTGAGTCAACGGTCGGCTAGCTAGAGGTGGTGTCTCCATAAACCACTGTGGAGAAAGCAACAGGGAACCACTTTACTATCAATCCCAGTACATATCATGGCTAATGACACTGACAATATGAATCCTAACTGTGTGAAAGGGGTTAAGTCTATGGGAATTAACTCCTCGCCTGAAAATGACAGACATGTGCAACAGATGTCACTTGTACTTCTACTGATCCTTAATCAGCAGGAGTCTCTTATTAGTGAATTTTGAACATATATGCTTACAATTTTGAAAAGTAATAAAATGTGGAAATGTTCATGATGGAAAAAGAACAGAAAGAGATAAAATAATGATGCCTTTGAAGAAAAATAAGTTAAAAAAAAAGTGTTTATAAAAATATTCAATTTTGATGAGTTTCTTTTTAGCTGTTGTAATGAACACAACAGTGTGAGTGTGAACACTGACTCCACACTAATATTATTATGTGACACTATGATTAGGACATCCACATAGAAGAAGATAGTGTGTGATTGGTATCACAGTCTTACATGTTTTATGACAGGTGATAAGGCCTGTGAAATGAAGTCTTCAAAAGTAGCCACCTGCTTGACCAAAAGAGAATAAAATAATAGATAAATAAATGAAAACTTTTGGAGTCAAGTGACAATGAACCAGACATTTATGATTCTTAATAGTTGCAGTTGGGGCTTTACTGCCTTACTTGGGGTGAATGTGATTAAAAATTGTTCTGTACTGCTCTTGAAATAGTGCAAGGTTGGTTGCTATGAAATAAAAGCTGATTATTGTGGTAGTTCCAATGTGGCCCTTTAGAGTTGGCAGCTATGCATCATAATGTAGAGAGAGGAAGAAAGTTGGTAGGAGACAGTTGAGGGAAAAAATTGATGTGTTAGTCTTAGATGTCAGAAGTGGCAGAAATTGTCACAAAATGTCACCTAACTACCCAGACTGCAAGAGAATCGCTGAAATAAAATGTATTCAAAACAGTGTCTGGGTCTTTATTTGGTTTCATTGTGAGTGTGCAGTGGGCCTATCCAAGTTTTTAGTGCACACCAACATGAATGAGAATAGAGATGCAATGTGGTGTTTTATTGTCTGTTTGATGAAAAGCTGAGAGGGACTCCATTATGTGTTTAGAATTAAGTTGCAAATTGTTCTGTGAAATTTCTTCATTCTTATAGTTAGGGCAATACTGTTAAAATGCTCTAATAAAACTTTGCTACAATGTGCCATTTTTGCTGTATTACAGTAACATGCTAACAAATAACAAATCCCTATAATATAGATTGTTTCCCTGTTATTTTTCTTTAATTTGTTCATTCTTCTGACATTTCTTTTTCACCTTTTTATCAAACTTCTAACCCCACCTGCCCTGCTTCTTTCTTGCTTTTCTCTTTTTCTTTGTACATAATTTTCTTCTTTTTCTTTCAACTAAAGTTTGTCAAAGTTTTTCCTTCTTTTTCTTTCTCACTTTCTTCTCCAGTGGATTTTTCACTTTTTCTTCAACCTCTTCATATTTTGACTTTGCTGTTTATCAAGCTTTTTGAAAAAAATATTTCTCTCTTTGTTTTTTCATCTCTCTTCTTTAATTCTTTTCTCTCAAATTTTCTTTCCTTCTTTTCTCTCTCTCTCTCTCTCTCTCTCCTATTCATATTCACTGCCTTTCTTCTTTCCTCTCCTTTCTTGCTTCCTTCCTATCATAATTCAGGACCGGACATGTCTGAATCAAAGACTTCTGTCTAACATTCATGCTATTGATTTCGGCATTAAACAACTGTCAAGGAGACTGACATTGTATAGCAAAGGAGCCTCTTGTTTACTGCAATTCTCTCAATTCCTCCATCTTTTTCTCCTTTCTTCTATCATTCTTTGTATTTTATAGGATGAACACTTAAGAGTCACAATAGCGAAAATAAGAGCAAAGGAAAGCATATTTTTTAAATAATGAAATCTAAGAAGGGTGTAGCTTTAAATGTACATAATTTAAAAGGATCTAACTTTCAATATTTTATTAATGGTAGCTTCTCTTCAAAATTAACACTCATTAAAAGAATTGTTTATTTATAGTTGGCATGAGGATGTGTCTGCATGGCTGAGTGGTTAGAACATTAACCTTCTGACTATTTGACTTGAGTTTGAATCTCACTATGGTCAATTGGCTAATCAGGTCACTTCTTGATAATATCAAAGTGTAACACCATGCAAAACCATGCCAGTTAAATTAAGCCATATAAATAAAATTGGATAGATAAAACTATCTGAAAGCTGTTGGTGGTTGCGCTAGCATCAAGTCATAAGTCACTGTGACCAACGGTTTGAATATACTGTCCTTTCTCAACTACTTATCACACTAGACTATTCATTCTATCCCAGAAATTGTAACTAAGGTTTGCTTAGCTTAGTTGCAATATAAACCACAAATTGGCTTTCACTAAAGAAACATAAATGTGCCTGAGCAGGTGTCTGCAACAGAGATTAACTAGGTTCAATTGATATTAGTTTTTATTTATATTTATGTATAGATTAGCAATTATTATATCCTGGTTTAGCCCAACTGATGTTCTCATCCTGACTGATATAGGCATAATGATTTGGCTATTGTACACTCCATCTTTCTTCAGGTGTCTGTTGTAGTCACTATTTTGGGAATTTTGAAGTGAACCCTTTATTCAATTTTGTAATCTGTGTTTGGAGATATCTCAGTTAATTCTTTTTAATCTGTCTTTGGATAACACTTCTGCTTATTCCACTGCCTGACTTAGGGATTGAACTTTATTCAACCTGTGGGGTTAGATTGTTCTCATTTCAACATCTATGCTAAGGGATAATCTTATATTAGTTAATCCATCTTTGTGATGATGCCTTTGCTTGACTCAATGTCTGAGCCAAGTGTTGAACTCATGACCACCAGGTAAGCTGCAGACACTTAAGCAAAGTTGATATCTATTAGGCTATTGTTCCATAACTAGTTCTATCCAAACAGATTGAATAAAAGATTCAACATCAAATTCTCAAAATGCTTTCAAATATGAAGGGCATTGGAAGATACTGGAGAAACATTATGACTTTAACAACCAAGATGAGGATACCAATTCAAATAAATCTGTCTATAATTTGTGTATATAGTCACTTATGGAGCCTGCTTGTTTTATTGATGAGGATGCCATCTTTTTGAAGTTTAATTTGAAAACTAGACCTCCCATAAGCCCATTATTTTAAAATCAGTTCATTATACAAAATGATGAGGTAACAATATCAATTTTTTATTAATTACACATATTTTAATTTGTATTTAAAGAGGGTAAAAGAATGTTTATTGTTCATAGTTTAGACATTGCATGAAAATTTGGATTAATAGCTTAAAACAGGTGTAGTCTTTTTCAAAATAATAAGTATATTTTATTAATTGTTAGTTAAAAATAAGTAAAAACTTTCCTGCACTGAAAATGAATGAAAAGAGCTAAAAACACTGTAATGATTTAAAATATAGATATAAATTATTTTACTATATCAGTAGATATGTTTTGCTTCTTTATGAAAATACCAGAATTCAAACAAAACTCGCTGATTTCTTATTTTGAGGTGCTATCCATTACTCTACCCACATATCCAAACTGGGATATACACAAATCGTACAACTTTAATATTAGTAAAATAGTTACTTTCGACATTTTAATATTTTGATTATTGTGGGGAAGTAGTAAAAAACTTAACAAGTTGTTTTCAGATGAAGCAATGTACTTAATCATACCTAATCTATAAAATTTATGTTTTAAACTATGTCAGAGCATTCTTTCCTCATAAAATATGAAAGATCACAAAGAGCAAATTTTGTTTGATTCTTGTTTTGTTTTTGATGAGTCCAAGAAAATTGTTCATCAATTACTGTAAACATCAGTAATAGGAAAATAATCTCCTGCTTATGCTTTGAAGGTGTTGTTGCTATATATTTAGCTTGTGGTATTAATTTGAACAAAGCTCGCAATTTTATTCTTGTACTCACAATCAACAGCATCAGATGATGGAAAAATAAAAGAAACAAAAGGGAAGTAATTGCCTTCAGCAGCAAGTGATAGAAAATATGAGTTGGAGTTGTTATATAACATATAGAAAATTGAATATAAAGAGATGTGAAAATTTTCTTATTTGTTGTTTATTCTTACATAATCTTTAAATAAAAATTCTAAATATCCCTTGCATGACAATGCAAAAAATATTCAATTATAATCAAGCATATATCCTTTTTAATATATAGTTACGATTTTTAACTAGAGAAAAAAATATCTGCAGCTGTTTTTCATTGTATACAGTTGCTATTTTACAAGTTGATCTTTTTTGCTGTATTTGTTTATTCCATTTTTTATATTGATTTCCTTTGATTGGCTGCTTCAAAAGTAATTTGTGAAGTGACAAGTAACATTCTTTGTCCAGTAAATGCACTTTTTTGATTGGTTGATAAATAACTTTTGGCTTGGTTCGAAAGGGTTTTTTTTCACTTTGTTGGCAACAAAGTTTTAAGATTTGTCTGAAATTTTAAGATTTATTGATTGATATAAATATTCAGTGTTCTGTTTTCCTTTACTGTTCTTTTTCTTCACATCTGGTTCATTCTCTAGATTTCTTTAGACAAAATTTTTGTCTGGTGCAAAGTCTATTATTGGTTATTTTTGCTTATAATCCAATCAGTGGTCTACATAATGTTGTCCTGGTGCCTTCTTGCTGACTCACTGGCATTTTCAGTGTCTTCTTCATTCCAGTTTCTCTTATTGATTGATTCACTTTTTGTGATTTTATGTCTGTCATTATAAACTTACTCTAAAGATCAGAATTTTTTCTTTTCCTTGTGTAGAAGCTTTGTTTACTTCTGTGAGTTTTTTTTAAGGTTCTCTCAAGAACTAAATCACTAAAATTGGTATAGAATCACACTGGAAAATAAGGAAACTAAGGAGTTGGTACATATATTATTATTAAAATACTCTATTAATACATTTAGTGGAAATGGTTAATACTATATAGGAGTTGGTGATGTAAATAAAAACCTGTCTTCAGTATAAAATACTGACATATACAATTAAAGAAAAACCTAACAAGGCAATGTTGTTAATGAAGGTGGTTTGGGAATATTACATTGTAGCTGTTCTGTTAAAATTTAATGATAGAACATTTCAAATTTTATTTATAGATGTGATAATGTTTATAAAGGTAAAGACCATATAAAACTAATTTGTAAAGGTGAAATATCTTGAAAAAAATGAGGAGAATAAAAAATATATTGTTTCAATTTTGTAACCTTGATTGCTGCATTCAGTCATGTTTAAATTTTCTTGGCTGAATAATTATAACTTAGACATCTTCTGGATTTCATATAATGATAAACTACATCTGGCAACAAGACCTCTGATCGGGTGGTTTTGAGGAGTGTGGAGCCACTTTTTAATTACTGTTGTACCCAGGTCCACTCTGACTCTGGGCTTGTAGCACCTGTTAGAGTCCCAACTATGTGCAAATAGTTAACCCCCAAAGTGGGGTCAAAACACTATGAAAGTATAGAAAAAGATTTTTATAGTAAAAATACCAGCAATACATTTTTGGAGAAAAAAATTACTAGCAATACATTTGACTCTCAACAAAAACCCACTTTACAAAAATACATCAATGAAACCTTATCTACAAACTGATTTCTTATGAAGAATTATTATTTCTATTCATATGAACATATCCTAAAAATGTTGTTAGCATTAAGTAACCCAATGATGTTGATATGCCATAAAACAAAATAAATCAAACCAAATCTTCTGGATTTCTTAGATCTCATAAGTTGCTAGAAGAGCCATTTTCAAGTCAGAATTTTTCATTCTCTTAATTCTGTAAGAGGTAATAAGTCTAAGGCTGCACTAGAAATGGAATCTTGGATTTTTCCATTTTGGCTTCTTTATTCTGATATTGGGTACTTGTTAATTGCATGTTGTTTTTTTTTATTCTATTGATTTGAATGGTTTGATCCTCTTTGATTGGATGATCAAAGAATCATTGTTTTCACTATTTGGTAAACAATAAATGTGCTATTCATGCATATTGATACCTTTAGGAGTCAGATATTGATGTACTTGATACAAAGCCTCACTCAAAACCATTTAACACTTCTGAGAATTTAATCTGTTCTTAATGGTTTATAAAAGCAGCATGAATTTTTTCACTGCAGGCAAATGGTCACCTATTTTGGTCATCATGCATAACAATTTTTGTTTTGCTTCCTTTATTGAAACAGGTATGTTAAAAAAACAAAAAACACAATATGTTTATGCAGACAGATTCCATAGACAAGATTTTGGTGGGTGAACACAGAGAGGAATTTTGTTGGTTAAGAAGTTGCTTGAATTTTGAATAATTTTTATTTTCTTGTGGACGTTTTATGATACACTGCTGGCCAAAATCTTAAGGCCAATGAAAATAAAGCAAAAATATACCTTTTTGCATTGTTAGACTCAACCAGTTATTTGAGTAGAGCTTCAAAAAATGAAAATAAGAAAAGGAGAAATTAAAAACTTTTTAGCATTTAATATGGAACATTTGAATACTGGAAAATTAGGCTAAATACTAGCAAGGAAAAAGTTTAAAACCATATTTAAACTAACCTTTAATTGGTAAACACATAACCAAATTTATTCATTCATGTTCAAGCATTAGTACAATCAACATCTACCACTGATATCTTCTACATTATATTAGGTAAAAACAATAAACACTAACACATTGACTGTTTGAATGTGTCAGAGTTGTTGAGCTGCAAAAGCAAGGTCTCTCATAATGCGCCATTGCTGGGGAGATTAGATGTAGTAAAGCTGCTGTTGCAAATTTCTTGAAAGACCCTTCAATATACAG